AATATAGGTAAATAACTGGCCAGTGTCAACATAAGATATTCCTTTTATATAACAGCCTTTCTTCTTTATTAATTAAATATCGGCATATTTTTTAAAGACCTTCAAAACAACTTTCCAAAGTAGTCCACTAAATGATGTGGGCACAGTCTGTTTTGATGGCTTATTACATGTTTGTTGTTTGGGTTATCCTGCCTCTTTTCTGTCTCCCACTCACTTAGAGAAATTAAAAGCTGTATGTGGGCAGATAAAACACATTGCACCATAATCGACTGCTGCTCTCTCCTCAATAGGGACAATGAGAGACACTTCATGGTCTATTAAAAGTGAATGGGATCCAATGAGGCAACAGGCAATAATTGGCATTTTCTGGCACAGTGATTTCAACAGCCAGGCTCAAGGACTTAAAAGCCATTAGTCCAGTCCAGTCTATTTTTCACTCCTTTCTACAGCAATATGTTAAAGCACATCCCTCTTTCAAGCCTCATTGCTGTAGATTACAGTGATTGCTGCGGTAAAAGCCCCGTGGTAGAGCTCAGAAATAGGTTGGACTTCGTACCACACAGTACTCGAAGAGATACAGGTAATATCAGGACGCCCTTTCAATTTGACAACGGGTGATACATCTCTAAACAAGTGGAGTCGGTTATATAAACCCAATCAACCACAAACACACATGCTGTTTTAAACCTTTCGGTTTGAAAAGCAGATATGCTTTTCGAAGCCAACAACACTTTAAATAGAAAATGGACTTGCTGGTGTTGAGTGCCCTGAGAGCACAAGGGTGCATGACGATTATGTCACAGAGAATTCTCTGGAGCGAACATGAATCATATCGATGGATGCTGTAAAAATCAATATGCTGCCACAGGTCATTCACTGGCAAAGATTCAAATGGCTGCTCCGTGGAGACTGGAAGCAGGAACTGGAAGCGAGATCACTTCTGAAGGTGTAAATTTAGCCACATAAAAAGCTATATTGAAATAAATCGAGGGATAAACGCACCGCACTTGCTTCTGTAGAGAAATATGCTGAGATCAGCTTCTGACGCCATTAAATCCATATCGCCCATCAGCCATCAATTACCGTCTTGACTTGGAAAGGAAAACTGCACTAACAGCAATGACAGCGCTTGTTAGGGGTCTCACGGTAAATTGCTAATCTTTCATAATTAGGAGTATTTTGCCTCCTGAGATCCGTTAAAGACATTCACACGGAGAGGTTGCGGAAATGAACTGTAAAGTACGCCACAATCACACGTCTCCTCCCCTGCTTTACATTTTCTATAGTGACAAACCAAGCTTCTGCATTCGCTCCTTATGCAAATTCCTGGCTAATAGTCTGCTGATGTGTTTTAAAAGCCCTCGGTTTTGCTTGCTGTTGTAAAACAGTCAGTTTTCCCTGAAATACGTCCTGCTGATTGTATTATTAAACTGCAAATCACCATTCCTCTGCATCGGTGGAACACATCTCAATCTTCTTGGCTCTGTGTGCTGTTTACTAAGTGCTACACCTAGAGCAGCGCGCCTGAGGACCAGCTGAACATATTATAGCAAAACCAGCAGACTGCCTCACCTCAATCAACAACCGTCTCACCTCAATCATCAGTAAGTCTCACTCCAACCGGCACAGAGTCTCACTCCAACTGGCAGAAAGTCTCACTCCAACCATTAGAAAGCCTCACACATCTGTTCCTCTTTCGTTTATTTTAGAAAGGTCATAGATATTTTCTTGCACTGATTCTTGCCTCACATTGAGCTTTTTTTACTGTCCTGAGGGACACAAGTCGTCAATCTTTTCGCTTTGCAGAAGAAGGGGGGAAAGACTTTGGATTATGGAGGACATAAGAAGAAATTAATAAGAAAATAAATTGTTATTTTTATATATGTGTGTGTGTGTGTGTCAAAGTTGTGCATTTCGGCAGAATGTGTGTCTTGTGGTTCCACTAGTAAGTCAATGCTAAGCCATGTTGAAGAAGTTGATTTTGCACATTACTGTGAATTAATAGTGCTTGATAAATTAGTAATGTCGTTAGAAGCCAGTGCATATATCCCGCATCCATCTGAGAAATAAGACCTCAAGATTTGTAGCTAGGCATTAAGTGGCAATAGATGCCGCCTGCAACAAACCCATCAATCTCTCATCAGGAATAAACACAGTATTGAACCAAGTCAATGGCCATTAAAATGACTCAGTCTGCTTCCCTTGCTTTGATTGGCTGCCACAATGAACAGCACTTGATTTGGCTATATCTTCACATTACAGACCTTAAATTGTAACCTGACAGTTGCCAAGGTTAATTATATTGCTCAATGTTTGCTCAACTGGAAGACGTAATGGAGTTTTCAGTAAGGCTTCATGTGAGTTTTAACTTCTTATTTCTCAGACTGACACAAATAAGACAATTATAACATACTGACTTGCAGAGTACAGTTAATGTGGATAGGATAACTAGGATATTTATATATGGAATTAATGCTCGAGTTCATATTGAAACTCTGATTACAGACTTTGAAATCACAGTTTGAGATGTTCTGAAACTCTCAAGTAGGCATATGAGATTATTTTGAGATCACTTCTAAACACATGAGACTTACTGTAAGTGAAAATCTCTCCATGTAATCTTTCTGAAATCTAGAATAAACAAGTGAAATATTGAACGGATAATTTGGGATTTTTCTTTTCTGTTTGTTTATTCTTGAGCTGCACGGATACAGAACGAGGAACAAAAATTTGACCTTCTCAAACAAAAAAGTGAGGTCAAATATAGGTAAATAACTGGCCAGTGTCAACATAAGATATTCCTTTTATATAACAGCCTTTCTTCTTTATTAATTAAATATCGGCATATTTTTTAAAGACCTTCAAAACAACTTTCCAAAGTAGTCCACTAAATGATGTGGGCACAGTCTGTTTTGATGGCTTATTACATGTTTGTTGTTTGGGTTATCCTGCCTCTTTTCTGTCTCCCACTCACTTAGAGAAATTAAAAGCTGTATGTGGGCAGATAAAACACATTGCACCATAATCGTCTGCTGCTCTCTCCTCAATAGGGAAAATGAGAGACACTTCATGGTCTATTAAAAGTGAATGGGATCCAATGAGGCAACAGGCAATAATTGGCATTTTCTGGCACAGTGATTTCAACAGCCAGGCTCAAGGACTTCAAAGCCATTAGTCCAGTCCAGTCTATTTTTTCACTCCTTTCTACAGCAATATGTTAAAGCACATCCCTCTTTCAAGCCTCATTGCTGTAGATTACAGTGATTGCTGCGGTAAAAGCCCCGTGGTAGAGCTCAGAAATAGGTTGGACTTCGTACCACACAGTACTCGAAGAGATACAGGTAATATCAGGACGCCCTTTCAATTTGACAACGGGTGATACATCTCTAAACAAGTGGAGTCGGTTATATAAACCCAATCAACCACAAACACACATGCTGTTTTAAACCTTTCGGTTTGAAAAGCAGATATGCTTTTCGAAGCCAACAACACTTTAAATAGAAAATGGACTTGCTGGTGTTGAGTGCCCTGAGAGCACAAGGGTGCATGACGATTATGTCACAGAGAATTCTCTGGAGCGAACATGAATCATATCGATGGATGCTGTAAAAATCAATATGCTGCCACAGGTCATTCACTGGCAAAGATTCAAATGGCTGCTCCGTGGAGACTGGAAGCAGGAACTGGAAGCGAGATCACTTCTGAAGGTGTAAATTTAGCCACATAAAAAGCTATATTGAAATAAATCGAGGGATAAACGCACCGCACTTGCTTCTGTAGAGAAATATGCTGAGATCAGCTTCTGACGCCATTAAATCCATATCGCCCATCAGCCATCAATTACCGTCTTGACTTGGAAAGGAAAACTGCACTAACAGCAATGACAGCGCTTGTTAGGGGTCTCACGGTAAATTGCTAATCTTTCATAATTAGGAGTATTTTGCCTCCTGAGATCCGTTAAAGACATTCACACGGAGAGGTTGCGGAAATGAACTGTAAAGGACGCCACAATCACACGTCTCCTCCCCTGCTTTACATTTTCTATAGTGACAAACCAAGCTTCTGCATTCGCTCCTTATGCAAATTCCTGGCTAATAGTCTGCTGATGTGTTTTAAAAGCCCTCGGTTTTGCTTGCTGTTGTAAAACAGTCAGTTTTCCCTGAAATACGTCCTGCTGATTGTATTATTAAACTGCAAATCACCATTCCTCTGCATCGGTGGAACACATCTCAATCTTCTTGGCTCTGTGTGCTGTTTACTAAGTGCTACACCTAGAGCAGCGCGCCTGAGGACCAGCTGAACATATTATAGCAAAACCAGCAGACTGCCTCACCTCAATCAACAACCGTCTCACCTCAATCATCAGTAAGTCTCACTCCAACCGGCACAGAGTCTCACTCCAACTGGCAGAAAGTCTCACTCCAACCATTAGAAAGCCTCACACATCTGTTCCTCTTTCGTTTATTTTAGAAAGGTCATAGATATTTTCTTGCACTGATTCTTGCCTCACATTGAGCTTTTTTTACTGTCCTGAGGGACACAAGTCGTCAATCTTTTCGCTTTGCAGAAGAAGGGGGGAAAGACTTTGGATTATGGAGGACATAAGAAGAAATTAATAAGAAAATAAATTGTTATTTTCATTGTTTTTCACACATCCATGAAAGTGAACAAAACCTTCAACTTAATTATCTATTCTAGAGATCTCATATACAAATAGTATACAATAAATTCAACTGATGTCCTTTGATATCGCAGAGGTTGCTAACAAACAGCCAGCGTTGCATCACCGCCAACACTAACTCCCTGTGGCATTCAAGGATTACTTTACACTGTCACGAACTGACTAAAAAGCCACTTTAATTCAGGTGCTAAGTTAGTACTGCTCTGAAACTGACAAGGTACAATTTCCCTGGATTGTATCTACCCAGAAGCGTGTAAAAAACAGATTTTTAAAGCAGTCACTGACGGTCTTGAGGCATTAACCCATCCCTGTTTTCCAGGTTACCCTCGCTATGCTGTGGTCGGGGATCACGGATCTGGCGAGCACCACCTTCGCATCCAAAGGGTGGAGCTGACGGATGATGCTGTGTTCGAGTGCCAGGCCATCCAGGCCGCCATGAGGTCTCGTCCAGCTCGACTCACTGTGCTAGGTTAGTTACAGCTGCATGTATACATGAAGACGGACAAAGAAGTCCTGCCGATGCCATTTGCATACATATGCCTTTCAGCAAAAGCTTATTTACTTTCTCAAAAGTCCCTGTTTAAAGATAATGTATTTAATTTCTAATAATCTTGCATCCACAAATTAAAGACTGATCTTGAGTATGAGATCAGCGAAGAATAATGTACAGTATTAAAAATAGATTTTTCACTGACCAAACTCCCCTGCAGTGCCATAAGTTCTCAGTTTTAATTTCCTGCTGCAAATCCCACTGTCTTCATTATTAAACCAGAGAGGTCATTGAATCTTAATTAAGTTTTATTGGGTTATTATTCAGCTTTGCCGTTTCTGCGATATTGGGCAGCAACAGTGTTATCTGTGCCGAGGTTGTAATCAACCACCTGGTAAGTTTATCTGCTCTACAGACCGACCACCCACACCCAGCGAATTGTAACTCTTCTTTGCACCAGTGAACACAACTGGGGTCAGGATTGGGGTGGTGTTATGGAAGTGGTGGGGTAAGAGACGAAGCACATGTGCTCGCCAACTGGAATGTGATTTCCTTTATTGATGTCCACTAATGAAAAGTGAAAATAATGACCTGCATGGGAGGATGTAGTGAGGGAAATTAGAGGAAGAAATAAGACAAATTATGCGGTCTGAGGTTGCTTTCCCTTACAAATGACTTATTTGCTAATTACAAGCACCAAACAGTCACCTAAGTCCCACTAATACCAGTATCAGTAGCACCTCATGACCAGAACATCATTCAATACTAGCAGCTTCCAAATATTTGTGATTGGTGAAATGGCTGGTGCAAATGAATTAGAAGCGATGATGCACTGGCAGTTTTGTTTATCATGATTCTCTTCTGCTGTGGTCATTATTAATTGGGCCTTGATTAGCACTGCTTTAGAACTACCTCAGTGGGCACTGATGATGCTAATTGTCCACCACAAACCCTAAACCAAGAACCTCAAGTTCGTCCCTGCTTAGTTTAATTTCCTGTCAAGTTGGTCACCAAGGGGCTAGAGGCTTTGTGATGTTTGTGGCTATTCATTGGTTAATGTCATGGGGCTAGACAAGGATCATATCGTGCTTTATCATATTCTCTTGAGCTTTTGAGATAAAAACAAAGCAAAATTCCCTCCCCAGTAAAAAAAGGAACTCAGCTGCAAAAAAACAACTCATTCTAAACTTTCAAGACTTTTAGATGTCAGTCAAAGGAATACATTTGAACACATGAACAACAGCATTTAGATGTCAATAATGCCTATCTCAGTGAGATAAAAAATCAGTGGTTGAGGTAATACTTTTACTATCAAAAACAGAAAAAAAATAAAGATACAGTCCTTGTGTAGCACCTGCCGATGGGTGGCCAGATCTTCTAACCTGCGCTTGTAATATATGCGAGCTCTGTAGCAGAGTGATCTCTGGGCTGTCTTTTACAATGTCAGGAAGCCTGGTCTGAGCTGTAGTGATGACAGGAATGGGAGTGTGACTCCCCGCCTACCCAGTATTTCTTACCTGACAGCTGAAGTGGTCCCTGAGCCCCTCGCTTCATGACTCAGCCTTCCCTCAGATACGGACTGAAGGCTGATGTTAGGGCAGGTGTACTCTCTACAGAGCTCAGCACAGTCCGGATCAGCCAATCCCGCTAAATGCTTTGATATCTGATCAAGCACTTGAAAGTGGGGAAAACTGAATCCCAACTCTGTGAATTATCCTGAATACAAAATTCCTGAACCACTTATGGTTGCTTGCCTGAAAATCTTGGGGAAAGCTCTTGGGGAAGAGGGAAAATCGAAATCCTTTCCTTCATCAAAGAGAAACCTGCATCGTGTCCGCAGTGACACGAGATGGCAAAATCTGTATTTTGAACTCTACATTTGCAGAGCTCATGTGGGTTTTGGGATTGTGGTTGACCTCCGGAGGTCACCTTTTCTGAATTAGTTATGAAGAAAAAGCAATTATTTTAGCACTTGCCCTGTGGGCTAATTATATACCCCTCAAGAAGATAGCCATCCTTGTCTTCTCACGTGTCCCCTCAACATTAATCTCAGCCTTGGAGAAAATGGACTGCAGAGTAATGGAGGGAGAGAGCTTGCATTTGGCCTTATGAAACAAGCGAAAGGTTACTTACCGCTACCATACTTTTGAAGATTTTAAATGCATTTATTTCTCACCTGGGGGTTCAGAACTTCTAGTTTTGAGTGTTTTTGTGAAGCCATTATCAATTTCTATCACTCTACAAAGCTCTTATACATTTGTCCTTCTAGCAATTTACTTTCTCCATACCCACCCTTAAACTCAATTTTGCTCTTACTAATTGTCTTGTTAATGGTTCTCATTGCTCGTTCACTACAAGTACAAAGTCAATATGTAAAGTAATAGCAAAGCATTCAGATAATCCTATAGTCTGTTATCTTATAAGTGCTGAAATTGCCCATTAGAAAATATTTGCTTTTCAAAGGATTAAATCCTTGGAAGATGCGAGAGCTAAATCTACCCCACACATTTCTCATTCCCTTTTGCACAAATTAATAATTATGATTTCATAACTAATGGAAGATCAAGTGTCCTTGCGGGAAAAATAAATAGGTGAAGAACTTGGAATCTGTTTTACTTCGCATTTGAAAATCTCAACATCTTAGCCTATGATTTGATAAACAGCTTCAAGGCATGGAGCTTATTAACTTTTAATTGCAAATCATGAGATGCAACTGCTTGACATCTTTTCAAAAATGTCCTGCTTATAGTCTTATGAAGATAAACAAAGGTCATCAATTCCGATCCAGATTTCATTTCCACACAAGCATGATGCCCTGAACACCATCAAACTTCATTTAATCTATTTTTTTCCACAAGAGAGGATGTTTTTAAAATCTACTAAATATGAGTCAAATGTGAACAAACACGCCAAACCTAGAAGTAAATTTTTTCACTCCTCGGGAGAACAATAAACCATTCTTATAAACTTTGACTTGGAAACTTTGACCTGAATTGCAGTTAAAAGTAAGTTAAGAAACATGTTAACAACAAAAAATCCCCCTCGTTGAAAACCAATGAGACTTTTCACAACTCTTTTGAACCAACAGTCATTGGCAAACATTCCAAGCTTTCCAAATCCCATAAACCCAGAGTCTGTGTTTGTGCACATGTTTGTTGAAAGATGATTCTTACTAAATCAAATATCAGAGACTAAATTGATTAAATAGCTGGTTTATGTACCATTATGGTTGAACTATTGCACATGTAACTGTGCACAAAAATCAAGCAGATGTTATTTAAACGGACGATTAGCTTTGCTGGGAGATCCACCCTGCTGGGCTGTGACCTCAGACACATCTGCAAACACACTCCTGTGACCTGAATGACAGACGTGAGTCTGTACAGATGTTCTGTTACTTACAAACATCAAGCTTTCACTGCTTCTGTGATGTAATTCTCTTTGACATGTTGAGTAAGGACAAAGGGACACTTGGCTTTTCTCAATTCCTTTTTACAATCAGTAGACCATACACCCAGCTTTGATCAGCAATTATTTTGTTTTATGAAATTATTCAAATTACATTTCAGTTATAATGTATGCATACTTCTATGATAAGAATGTTTTTAGCTTCTGAATTAAAATGTAATATGATATGTTTTGGAAGACAAACAGTCAATATTAGGACACAACTGTACTGATAACATTGAAAAAATAATAATCAAAAAGGAATTAAACTGCTGGAAAGAAAACATTAACTAGTTTAGAATAAGGTTTTATTATTATTTAGTCAAAAAAGCAGCTTTACTTAATATATGAAAAATACTAATTAAAAAAAATACCCTGAATCTCTCAAGTTTTTGAGCGCTTTTATTTCTTAAATATTCACCCTTGGGAGTTATTATGAATTTTGAGCCCATCTTAAATTAGACGCTGTTTGATTTAGTGTTTCATTTGAAGAAGGGAACACAAGTACTGAACAAACCCAATCTGGAGAATAAATATATCTCTCTCACATCCTTCCTTTTAGCTCCTGGAACTGAAACATCCCCCATCCAGTTGATTTTAAAAGCTTGTTGCTGGAATTCAAGGTCCCCATTTGATTGAGCCAATGTTTCAGTCCATTTGGTTAATTGCAAATCCATTTTCCTGCATGCAATTTATTGTTTTCTTCAGTCACACGCTACAAGTTAAGAGTCTTGTCACCTTCAGCCAGGTCTTGTGAGATCTGGCCTTGTCTCTGGCTACATATTTTTAATTATTTAATAAAGGTTTTTGAAGACACGCCAGACCCAGAAGACCTTAGATATTGTACAAATACATTCACTGTGAAATTGCTCTTCTGTTCAGTGATATTTTAGCTCTTTAATGAACTCTGACTTCACGTCATGCCACTGTGAAAAAAAAATATATATATGCAGAAAGCATTCTGTACAAACCCTATACAGACGTATTACAAAGTGCATATGCCACATTAACAGTTTGGCATGATATGTGTTCGTTTCTCACACTGTAAGGATTTAGAAGACCAAACACATCAGATTTACTGGTTTCACGGTACTTTCATGTTGCTTTTTTTGTCATTTTTGCAGCTGAACAGCATCCATCTTCGGTCACCAAGGAAAGTCTGTAAAATTACTCCATTTACTCACCATGATTTCATTCCAAAACCCAAGTAACTTTCCTTGAAACAATACAAATGGAGTAGAATTCATTCAGACTTTAAAAGCAACTGAGAGAGCGCTAAAAGACACTATATGAGGAAATGCGGGATTTAAAAACAGAATTATGGATTAAGGTTTTCCCAGCCAAGTGGAAGATGGAAGAATTGCAGCCCACTGGCCAGTAATTAAAAAGGAACAATCAATCCCCGCTGCTGACCGACTCATGAGAAATCTATTGAGTGACTGCGTTAAAGCGCTAATTTGGAGCCATTAGGGGATGCAGAGTTTGCAAACAGGCCGGTAATGATGATGGCTTGCATGGCTACAGGGTTGCCCTTTGTACCGCTGTCAGACTAAGAGTGTCTGGGAGAGCTGAAATTAGATAGGGAATGTCTGACAAAACCTCAACGCCACAGCCCGAAATAACAGCTCCTTCCTTTAATGATCAGTGCCATTTGTAGTGCATGGGCTCAGCCATCAGTAGTGAGAGGCCTATGGCAGATGAACAGTGTACAGCTGTGGATCGCTGAAGTCTGCGACGAGAAATACAGGCTCATCGACCTGCCTTGGATCCCAAAGCTGTCTTTTAGATGTGTAATTGTTTTGGTTCCATATTAGGAGCTCAAATAAGCCCTTTTGAGATGGACAATCCTTCTTTTAGTAATTGGGTGAGACTAAATTCATAACAAAATCTAGCAGAAAAGAAGCCTTCAATATTCCCTATCATATTTGCTACTAAAAGCAGTTAATTGGAGCTGTGATTTAGCTGATCTAATAAAAAAAAAATAGAAGCATTTCTTCATATTTGCCCTGCTCTGCTATGAACAGCCACACTGAGAAAGTTACTAATAAAAAAGTAACTGAATGCCCTTATATACATTAAAATAAAAAAGTCTGCCCTACCAAGGACATCTACCTCAGAAATTGCATTCATTTTGTTGAAAGTGGAACTGGCTGCATTTAAAATAGCCTATCATGGGAAAATTAATAACCATCCACACGGGTCAAGAAAGAGTCAAGACTGCCTGTAAAAAGCCTGCAGTGGAGCAAACTTACAGTGCATTTATATCAATTTAGAGATCTACTGTATACTTACAAGGCTGCAACAGAAAAGTCAGACATCCAAGTGGCAAACAAATAGTAACATGTAAATCATAGTGGAAGCAGTCACACTACACATCTCCAAATCTTTTTTTTTTCCTTGACAAAAATATATCTGTTAGTTCTGCAGTTTGCAAGTATTTACGTAAAAATAAATGTATTTAATTGTATTGTCATTATAACTAGAGGCTCACCTTAACATTACCTGAAAACGGCCAATTACCGCTTTCATAGGCAAAACAGAAGCTCAGGCAAGAAACCAATTACGTAAAAGTTCACAGGGAAAATTAATCACTGTTATCAGTCTTCGTTTTATTGTTTGTCATTTTGGTTTTTGAGGAGGATGTGAGGAGGTGGTGGATGAATGATCATCGTCATCGGCATGTTTTATTAATGCAACCAGGGGTATCGTAACGGGGAACGATTCCAAGGGAGGGAGATTCTTATCATAGAAACCATAACGGTGACCCTGAATGCAACTAGAGCCCTCAGAAACATTACATATTATTGTATTTGATTTGTGGGATATTGCATTAAAAAATGCTGGATAGAATGACTGCAAATGACATTTTCAAAGGCACCCACTTGAGCAGATCTATGCAGATATATGTAGTTAATGTGCATGTCACTTGATTTAAAACACATTAGCTACAATGGAACACTTTATAAATCCCTAAATAAGCATTGAGAAAAATCATGTGACTAGTTTTTCATCGTGTGAATTGTTTTCTCAAAGAAAACATGTTACACTCGTCATTCTGAAATGCCAAAGTCTGTCACAAAAAAGTAGCTAATATATTACTTTTCGTAATGAGCTCCCACGGCTTCCCCAGTCACTACTTGCAACTTGCATTTCCGGATTACACCAATTTTCTAATAAGGGACAATGTTGTTATCTTTAGCACATGGGATAGAGAGATTTGTTTTATGTTTGATATACTATAATATTTTAATTTTTGGCCTAACATATACAGTTGTGGCCATTAAGAATGCGCATTTTTTCACCTGCAGCATGCAATTCGCCACACGTGATCACGGAGCTCCCTGTAGGCGCTTTTTCAGATTTTTTAAAAACATTGTTGTACTTCACACAATATCCACCAGGCGGTGCAAGGATTTCAATTTCAATTTCAAACAACGATTCGAGTGATGCAAAAGTGGTCATTCATGCATATTTGCATGACGTTTTATATTTTGTTTTCGATTTGATGGTTTAATTCCACATTTCAAGCTGCCTTATATATAAAAGTAGCTATATGAATGATGTTCTACTATTATGACCAAAAACAACTATTTAAGTTCTTATTCTATTATAAGAAAATATTCCAAGTGAACGTGCCTTCGCGCTCGTCCAAGGCTAACTGATCATGTCATTGTAAGTTGAATAGAAACCTTGCTTTTGTGGCTCAGAGGTGCCAGACCTAGAAAACTCTAACCTTGAACCCAACTCACCCACTGACTGTTTCAGAGAACTGAGACTTGCTTAGGAACTGTAAGCTACAATGCCTAGTCAATACCGTTAGTCATGACCAAAGTCTTAGCTAAGAGGAATATCACATAGAGTTGATGTTTTACAGTATTACCAGGATTGCACTGAAGTCACGTCATGCAACCTGACCATCAACAATCGCACAAAACTGCACTGTGTACATGTGGCTTTTTTGTCTTCCCAGACTTGTTCTCTAATTCTAGATCTTTAAAATTTCATCTTTGGGAATAATTTATATTGTTTGTGCGCAGAGCTGAACGTACTCATTGAATACTTTTAACAGTATAAGCAAAGATTGAACAGCTTTCCTTTTTTCAGGCTAATTAAAGACCTCAGCGACATGCAATTCTGAACAACCCCTTGACTGTAATTATCTTTCTCTTTGCCGTGACCTCCCCTCATTGTGTCCTTTTCTCTTTCTTTCACTCTCAACGTCTCTCTGCCGGCTGCTTACTAACTTTGATTTTCCCTTGCCCCAGATCTGTTCGGTAATGAGCATGCAGGGCGATCAATAATTCACTGGAGTTTGAATAAAATGCAGGATGCTCAGGTTTGGGTGTGTTTTAAACAGAGAGAGTAATCAGTGCCATTCATGAACTTGTTTTTTTTTTCTGCTGGTCTTTAACGGCCCTCACACAATGTCTCCTGGCTGCTTTTAGATTGCCTCTACACCCCCTCGGTCCTCACTCGCGTTATTACGCCCTTTCCACATGCACATTCGACTGCTCCTCGCTCTGAGTCACACTGCGTTGATGGCTTCCACATACATACAAATCACACCTGCTCTCTTTAAATGCAGATAAAATGAAACCACTCTACTATGATCAAGCCTTATTCCATGATGCTCGGCCCACACCGTTCAGATCAGAATACCGTCACGTGCTAGAAAGTTGTTTTCCAGTAGCAACATTTCTCTCTCCGTTAAGATGATATGAAATGATCTAAAATAAGATGTGCAGGCACTGGCAGTGGCTCGCTAACCTTTGGATGTTGTGTAAATGTTTCCCAGAGGAACATCTTGTTGCTCAGAAGTTCATACTGTAGCACGAGTTCATATTGAAATCCAGAATTTGGAATCTTGTCAGATCTCCCAACATTATTTTCTTTTTTTCGTCTTGTGTAGTTCCACCTGATGACCCCGTTATCATCGGAGGGCCTGTGGTGAGCCTAAGAGCGGGCGACCACCTCAATCTGACGTGTCACGCAGACAATGCCAAACCCGCCGCCTCGATCATCTGGATCCGAAACGGAGAGGTGCTGAATGGAGCCACGTACTCTAAGGTAAGTTTTGAGGAATTGAAGTTGCTATTTATTAGGTTCTCACTAGCCACTTCAACATATTGTCACATTTATATGTATTTTATTAGCTCCTAAAATGTGTAAGTATACTGTATATGCAGTATCATACACACCCATTATTATAGGGGTTAATATAATTTATTGTGAATGTGATTTCAGCAAGTACCACATGTTCCTGGAACAAAATTCTAATCAACCAATCAGAATTGAGGGTTATGTTTACAGGAAATACCAGTTCTAGGCTGACAACCAGGGTTAGGTTCTACAACCTTGCTATTCAGGTATCATTTCCCTCTGATTTTAACCCTCTGGTATTGTTCATTTGAGAGTCACACTTGTGTTGTTCGCATAACAACACATAATCATGGCCATAATCATGTGCTAATTTTATTTTTGTGAAATCAATATACTATATTTCACTTCAATGTTTTTTATTAAATATTTATAATTTTGAGTGTATTTAATTTTACTAATTAATATTCATATCTAAATTATGAACGTTTTTTTCATAAAATTTAAAAATATAAAACATAATTGTATATAATGTTTCAAATAATGCAGTAAGTATATATATATATATATATATATATATATATATATATACCAGGGTCACACTGCGACAAGCAGCGATTATTTTTGTTTTTCAGTCTAAAATGACTGAATCCCACCAGAGGGTTAAGGATAAATTATGGTCGGTGTTAAGTTTAGGGGTAGGGTTAGGGTTAGGACTATGTTTTCAGACAGGAATGTTGTTCTATGTTCAATAAACGATGTTGATACAGGAACATGTCTCAACAAAAAATGTTGCAAGTTGTTGCAAATGTTGTCAAAAATATTTGACAGATGTCAAAAAAGGGCAAATAAGGAGCATCTGTAACATGTCTGTTATGATTACAACACAAAGCATGGCAAGGCTTCATCTGCGAAGAAGAACAGTGGGTGACTAAGTACAACAGAACTGCTGCAAAGTGACAGCAAACATTAATATTTGCCTTGAAGACCCTGTTTCCACAAAAACTGATCAGAGAGAACTTCACAAAATCAACATCCATGAAAGAGTTGCGACTGCTAAAACTTTAATCACAGACGCCAATGCTAAAAAAAAAAGAGTCATGATTATAAAACTTGCAGTTGGAGGACAAAGATGATCGTCAACATCTGCCCTGTCCAGGCAAATCACCTGACTTGAATATTATCAAACCACTGTGGATGGTTTTGGAGAGAAGAGTGAGAACATTTAACTCGAGACTATTTAGAAGCTGTACGAATGCAACACAGCTTACAAGATCATTAGAATAAAGTCACATGGTAGTAAAACATCCATTAAGAAATATTGCACATTTCCAAGGTGTTCACATTTTTGTATAACATCTGTACACTCTCAGAAAAAAAGGTACAAAAGCTGTCACCTTTTCAAAAGGTATTCCTTTGAACCTAAAGTTTCCATATTGGTACCTGAAAGGTACAAAAGTGTGTGTGTGTGTGTGTATTCAGAAGCAAAACCAGTCCATCTGAGATTTTTTTAAATTATTTTTTTATATTTTAATTTATTTTATGTTATTGCAAGATAATACTGTATATGCAGGTTTTCTTCAATTTCATACGAAATGGCCACTCGTCGTGAGAGTCATCTGTGGTCATGATTGCTTGCACCATCTGCACTCATTCGCTTTAGCCCTTAGCTCCATTTGATTGGAAGAAAATCCCTGGAAATCCAGCCTCTAACTGAAATGACAGAGACATGTTTGTCCTCCTTACCCTGCAAAATGTGTCAACACAAACAAACAGATGGCAAGATAAGGCAAAGCCATATTGTTTTCCCCAATCCCCCCCTCCTCCTTGAACGTTCCTTCTAGAAAAGGTTTCCCTCCCCTATATACAGCTGATGTGTTTATATGTTTATATGTGATCCAGCCCAAATCCATTTGTCATAATTATATTTAAATGCAATCAAAAATCATATTTCATCCCATTGTGATATTGTGATCTTCTACTGGGGTCAGTCTGAGGTAGAAAGCAGCAGCCGTGTAATCAACACAGCCGTATAAATACACAGTGCTTGCAAGATCCTCTCAGCTAACACTAATGCTACTCCTCCCTCCACCTGATCTGATTATTGGCTGTTTCTAAAGAGCAGATAAACACCATTGATTTAGCTGGTGTAACTGTGCCGTATTGCCCATCAGCACACTTGGTAAAGGAAGCGCCGCTAATCGAAAGACGAGCGCTTGCTTTTTTTTTTTTCTGTGGTTATCGCGATAACAGGTGTGAGGGACAGGGCATCGTGATGGATGTAGGCAGTTGAGCTTTCTAATATCTCTATTCATGCTAAGCAATGCAGTCAATTAAGCCACAATCACTTGGTCTGAATAATGGAGAATGGGACAAGCAGAATCTCTCTCAAACTCCCCCTTCATCAGGCTCATAATCGGGACAAATGAAGGCCAATGTCTGTATGAAGTATGCAGTGAATATGTCTTTCTGTTGGGCTGGCATTTCTGGAGATGCTTAATGATTCAAATGACTAATGTGTCATCCTTACACTGCTGAGGTGTGGATTTTTCTATTGGCCTCTGAATGTCTTTACCTGATGAGCTGCCGTAAAACACTGATAGTGCTGTTGATGTGATGATAAGACACAACAAAGGCAAAGCAGCATATGGATGGGACGGAGGGAATTCAGAACAGGTCAGCGATTTGAGGTTTTTGCCAAGTGCGTGAATTCAGAGGTCAGCTTTTTAAAATGACTTTTTATAGTTCGTTTTAAGTTGTGGCTCATCAGTCCAAATTGTGTCACCACTAACATAGCTAACCAAAACAATCACCTATTTTAAAGACAAAATTACTTCTTTTGTTAATTAATGTTTCAATTTTAAAATCTTACGTCAACAAAACAAAGTGAGTTGTATTATTATTATCATTATTATTATTGTGATTCTATGGAAAGTGTTTTGCAACATAGCTCAATAGTTTTTACAAAATGTATAAATATACACTTGCACCTAACTTATCTAACCTTTGTTAGATACTAAAATTCAGTATCAAATGACTGTTGAACACACAGATAGATAGATAGATAGATAGATAGATAGATAGATAGATAGATAGATAGATAGATGATAGATCCCCTTACCAAAAAGTAGTATACTTCAAGTTTATTTTATTAAGTATACTTAAGTAAAGTTCAAGTATATTTTTAAGTATACTTTATGTAGTAAGTATACAAATATCAGTGTACTAGTAGTATACTTGTAAGTGTAATATTTCAATACACCTTGGGACTAAATTGGCCAACTTTCTAGTATATAAAAGTATAATTTTAAGTAGGGATGCACCGATACCACTTTTTCCAGTACTCGCCCGATACGATACTTTTATTTTTGGTACTAGCCGATACCGAGTACCGATACCAATATTTCCATTGCATTTGTACATTTTTTAAATATTGGGTACAGAAACCAAAAGAGTATATATAATGTTAGTTGGTTAACTTCATTTATCAAATAGATCAAGTCAAACCAAAATTTATTCAGACACCTTCAACATTTCTCACATTATCACAGTTTATTCGTTATAATTTAGAAAATGATAATCAAATATGACAAGAACTCAGAGTTAAACTGGGGCAGAACAAATTCAGCTTGATAATGTCAGATAACTTTGATAGAAAGGTATGTAATGGATTACAATAAACCAAAAATTATTCATACAGCTGTCAATATTTACACAACTATAAATACTTTGTCGGGCAACCCTTAGCCTTAATGACAGCCTGTAGTCTCCTGGGCATGCTGTCATCCAGGTTCATGCAAACCTCAACTTCAGTTTTTTCCCAGACTCGGTCTGAATAATTTTTGGTCCCAAATTTGTATCAGTTTTACTGGTAGTCCACTGTATGAAGACTTTTTGGGTATAATATATCACAGTTCAGTTTATTTTTCTATCCTCACTTTACATAAATGAACTGTGTCCTGCACCCACTAGTAAAAAAAATATCAAAAATTATATCTGGTCTCTGAACAATTATAATTTTTGGTTTGACTGTATATCTTTCTGTTATTTTCACACTTAATTATGCCCATTAAAATGTATTTTACAAGTTTTTATTACTTTCACTGTTCTTTTTATCTCTCTATGGTAGCCTACATCATCTTTAATTTAATAGCATTAGAGCTGCTCCATTGCAGCAGCTTAGTATACTGTAATCACACGATTTGCTGTAAAAATGCAGGGAACCATTCGATATAAATCTCCTAACTGTGATATTTTCATAAATAGAAGTCACGTTTTTTTTCATCTGAAACGTGCAGCGATTTATTTTCCAAAGCCACTCATATAATGTAGAAACACCCATGAAGCAAGCAAAACACGTGCAACGTGCACACGTATTTGTACTGGTGCAGAATGAGAGGGACAAGTACAGTACAGCCTAGTGCATTTCACACAGGCTGTTAGTTTCACTTTCGACAGAAAGTCGTGTATGCTTAAGGGTGAAAATAAATTACGTTTATAGTGAATGCCCCTATAAATTGTCTTATATTTACGATTTTGTTTTAATCCAAATTATGCGCGCTAAGTGAGCGGACATCAATAAAGATCACACAACAGAATTGCGCGCTCTCTCTCCCTCCCTCCCTACCATTAAGTAACATGTGCATTGTT